ACAGAACAATTTCCAAGGCCCAAATCATCAACAATGGCAACCTCAAAACAATCAAGGCAATTGGAAATATAACAACCAAGGTAATTGGAGTGGTGGAAATAATCAAGGAAATTGGCATAACAACAACAATAAAGGAAATTGGAATGGTAATAATCAAGGTAATTGGGGTGGTAACAATTAAGGTGTATGGAACAATAATCAAGGCAACCGGGGGTTGGATTTTCAAAGGCCCCCGATGTATCAACAATCGAGCAACTTACCTCCTTATCCTTCCCATGGTCCTAGTTCTTCCAACAATGAAATGAGGCGTATTGAGAACATGTTCAACCAAATGATGGAGAAGAATGCCAATTACGATGCTCAACTTTCCTCGCACAACACAACGATCCGCAACTTAAAAGTGCAAATGGGGAAAATCTCTCAAGCTCAAAATTCTCGTCCTAAGGAGTCACTACCAAGTGACACGGTGGTGAACCCAAAGGGTGGGAACAACATGGGGAATGCCATGGCCGTTAAGACAAGAAGTGTAAGAGGTGGGAATGCACCCACCTCAAGTCAAAGGCAACTTATGGATGATGAGCAAATAGTACAAGAAGAATAGATCTCGAACAATGTGGTGAAAGCACATGACGAAGTGAGGATTGATATTGATGACAATGTGGAAGAGGCTCAAGAGGAAGTGGACCCATCTAGGGATTACGTTATTGACATACCGGAACCGGTAGTGCAAAAGGCTAAGGCACCATTGCCTAAGCCTCCTCTTCCATATCCTCAAAGGCTTGCCAAGAAAAATTGCAAGAAACAATTCCAAAATTTCATTGAGATGATGAAGAGTCTCTCGATCAGTGTGCCATTAGTTGAAGCTTTGGAACAAATGCCCGGTTATGCAAAGTTTATGAAGGATTTGGATGAATTTTTAAACTATCAAAGTCACTCATCAAGTGAGTGCAATTATGCTTTCAATGGCTCCTAAATTGGAAGATCCAAACGCTTTCACAATTCCTTGTACCATTGGAAGTGCCGAGTTTGCTAAATCTCTTTGTGATCTTGGGGCAAGTATAAATTTGATGCCCTATTCAGTTTTCAAGACTTGGGGGATTGGGACCAAGACCCACATCTATGAGATTATAAATGGTCGATCATACCACGAAGAGACCGCTGGGAGTGATGGAAGATGTATTGGTTCGTGTTGATATATTCATTCTTCTAGCCGATTTTGTCATTCTTTATTATGAAGTGGACTATGATGTGCCGATTATTCTTGGAAGGCCTTTCCTTGCTATGGGGAAGGCTCTTGTTAATGTGGAAGACGGATAACTCACTTTCCGGGTGGGTGATGAAAAGGTGATATTCCACGTGTGCAAATCTATGCGGCAACCTAATAGAAATGAAGTGTGTTCTTTTGTGGACTTGGTGACCGATGTGGGTGATATGTTGGAGGCTTTCTTGCTCAACTTTGATGATGACAATATGGATGGCTTCATGGAGTGTGTGAATTCTTTGCAAGTAATAGGGTTGTACAACTATGCACCCCGGAAACTCTCCTTGGATCTTTAAAATAGGAAAACTCCTCCTACAAAGCCTTCAATTGAAGAGCCTCCGACCTTGGAGTTGAATCCACTGCCTCCACATCTTTGGTATGAATTACTTGGTTCTTATTATACTTTACCGGTTATTCTTTCCTCTCGTTTGACTAACGTGCAGGTTGACTCCACATTGGTGGTGCTACATAAAAGGTGGAAGGCTATTCGATGGACATTGGTGGATATTCGGGGAATAAGCCCCTCATTTTGCATGCAAAAGATCAACTTGGAGGAAGACTCCAAATCATTTATTGAACATAAATGAAGACTCAATGAGGCTATGCAAGAATTGGTCAAAAAGGAGATTATCAAGTGGTTGGATGTCAGGGTTGTCTACCCTATTTCCGATAGTTCGTGGACCTCTCCAGTGCAATGTGTCCCAAAGAAGGGAGGCATGACGGTGGTCACTAATGATAAAAATGAGTTGATTCCCACAAAAATGGTGACCGGGTGGAGAGTGTGTATGGACTATCATAAGCTCAACAAAGTCACAAGGAATGATCATTGTCCACTTTCCTTCCTTGACCAAATAATTGATAGTTTGGCCGGCCGTGATTTCTATTTCTTTCTAGATGGATATTTGGGAACAACCAAATCCTTATTGCTCCGGAAGATCAAGAGAAAATAACTTTTACACGTCCCTATGGTACTTTCGCATTCAAGCGGATGCCATTCGGTTTATGTAATGCACCGTCGACTTTGCAAAGTTGTATGATGGCTATCTTCACAGACATGGTGGAGGAATATCTTGAAGCTTTCATGAATGACTTCTCGATGGTTAGGGATTCCTTTGATGATTTCTTGCCAAATTTGGATAAAGTATTGGCAAGATGTGAAGAAACGAATTTGGAGCTAAATTGGGAGAAGTATCATTTCATGGTCGAGGAAGGCATTATCCTTAGCCATAAGATTTCTAAGAATGGCATTGAAGTCGACAAGGCAAATATTGAGGTCATTTCTATATTTCCACCTCCAACTTCGGGAAAGGCGTGCGGAGTTTCTTAGGCCACGTGGGGTTTTACCAACATTTCATCAAGGATTTTTCTAAAATGGTGAACCCGTTGTGCAAAGTTTTAGAGAAAGATGTTAATTTTCACTTCAATGATGATTGCATGAGAGCCTTTGAATTGTTAAAGTTCAAGTTGACAACCACTCCCATTATCACTGCTCGTAATTTGAATATCCCTTTTGAGCTCATGTGCGATGCTAGTGATGTAGCAGTTGGAGCTATTTTGGGGAAATGTATCAACAAAATTTTTCATTAGGTCTACTATGTTAGTAAGACCATGAATAGTTCCCAAGTCAACTACACCATTACGGAGAAAGATCTCTTTGCCATTGTGTTCACAATTGAGAAGTTTCGCCCGTACTTGATGGGTGCGAAAGTTATTATCCGCACGAATCATGCAGCACTTCGCTAGCTTATGAGCAAGAAATATTCAAATCTCGCTTGATGAGATGGGTGATTTTGTTGCAATAGTTTGATATTGACATCTAAGATAGAAAAAGGAGTAAAAATCAAGTGACGGACCACTTGTCTCGTTTTGGAGGAGGGGAGGCCGCATGATGACCTTTAAATCAATGACTCCTTACCCGATGAGCAACTCTTGGCTATTTCAATGAAGGAGGTTCCATGGTTCGCGGATCTAGCAAATTTTCTTGTGTGTGGAATTATCCCGGATGAGTTCTTTTCAAACCAAAGAATCAAGCTCAAACGATATTGTCAAGATTATTAATAGGATGAGTCATACCTTTACCGGAGTTGTACGGATGGGGTAATTAGTAGATGTATATCGGAAGAATAGAAAAGAGATATTCTTGGGGCTTGTCATTCTTCGCCATATGGTAGCCACCATGGCGGAGCAAGAACGGCGGCCAAAATACTAAGTTGGGGTTTCTATTAGCCCACTCTTTACAAGGATGAAAGTGATTTAGTGAAAAGATGTTATGAATGTCAAAAGGCCGGTGGAATTTCGAAGAAGAATGAAATGCCTCTCAATACTATTTTATAGATTGATATCTTTGATGTGTGGGGTATTTATTTCATGGGTCCTTATGTGAGTTCTTGTGGAAATACCTACATCTTGGTCACGGTTGATTACGTGTCTAAATGGGTTTAGGCCATTGCTCTACCCAACAATGAAGCAAGAAGTGTGGTGGCTTTCTTGAAGAAGAATATTTTCACAATACTTGGTAATCCGCGGGCTATCATAAGCGATGGGGGGTCGTATTTTTGCAACAAGGCTTTTGATACTTTACTTAGCAAGTATGGTGTTACTCATAAAGTTATGACTCCCTATCATCCACAAGCTGGCGGTCAAGTGGAAGTCTCAAACCGGGAGATAAAGAGTATCTTGTCCAAAACAGTGAATGTTAACCGGACGGATTGGTCCAAAAAGCTCGATGATGCATTATGGGCTTATCGGACGGTTTACAAAACACCTATTAGGATGTTTTCATACCGATTGGTGTTCGGAAAAGCTTGTCATCTCCCGGTGGAACTTGAGCACAAAGCCATATGGGTTCTAAATAAGTTGAATCTTGATTGGGATGTAGCCTCTAATTTGAGGGTTGCACATTTGAATGAATTGGATGAATTATGGTACCATGCTTATGCAAGTTCGTCCTTGTACAAATAAAAGATGAAATATATGCATGACAAATATATTTGGAATAAAGAGTTCAAAGTGGGTGATTTTATTCTGTTGTTCAACTCATGGTTGATGATGTTTCCTTAAAAGCTAAAGTCTAAATGGAGTGGTCCCTTTGAAATTATGGGTGTGACGCCTTTCGGTGTATTAGACTTAAAGAAAAAAAATAATGAGCTGAGGTAGTTAGCAATGCGTATTACTAAATATGTGTGCTCTTTTTCCTTCACTAGGATTTTTTTCCCACGTGGTTTTTTCTAGTAAGGTTTTAACGAGGCACATTATATTTTAATGAACATCCAAGGGGGAGTGTTATGAATATATTATATTATGGATGTTCATTTAGTACTCCGTTGTAAATAAGCTTCCTGAAGAAGTTTATCCATATGAGACTCCGCCATAAATATATTTATCTATTTAGTACTCTATTGGAAATAAGCCTCCTGAAGAAGCTTATCCTTTCGATACTCCGCTATGGATAAATATTACCAATGATAAAAAATTATTTATATCTTACACAGCAGCTTACACAGCAGCAGCAGCTTACACAGAAGCTTGCAGTAGCAGCTTACACAGCAGCTTCCTTTCTTCTATAAATAGAGGAGAATTCAAAGTTTGAAGTTTGAATAATATATCAGTTTCTCTCTATACTTGTCTTTACTTTACAGTCTTTATTTTATAACAGTCTATAGTTTTTCTCTTACAATAATTACTTATTTGGGAGATAGTCAAATAGGTTTATTTTATTGCTGGTAGTACATAGTACGAATTACACCTTCGTAAAATGGGCTAGCGATATGTGAATTAAGGGAGGAATCAATAGAGGCAACGACTTTATGCTACGACGACCGAACTTGAAGAAAGTTGAGAAGATCAAAACCAGTTGGCGTGACAAAGAAAAACCAAAAATGAATCCTCAAATCTGGCACAAAGTTGCTGCTATTTCTGGTAAAACTACTTCTCTTTGGATACTCCACCATGTCAATTTCTTATGTTTTGCATTTGTCATAGCTCCTATCTTGAAAAATCTTTTTTGGGTTTAAAGAATTTTTAACTTAGAAAATTGTAAGCTGTGGAAAACAGGTGTAGCTGCTCTTGGGTTAGGAACTTATGGAGCTCATGTCTTCAAGCCCAAAAATCCCACTTACAAAGAGGTTCTTGTTTTCTTTTCTCTTTTTTCCCAATTTTTTTAGATGAAAATTCTTTTTTCCATCATTTAGTGTAGGGAATTTTTTTTTTTTAATTTTTGGATTATTTTGTTGCAATTGGTAATTAAAGGTGTGGAATACTGCATCACTGTACCATTTGGTTCACACTGCTGCCCTTGTTTCTGCTCCTATCACTAAACATCCAAACATTGTGAGTTCCCTAACTGCATATTTATCTTTGTGACCTATTTAAAGCCTTCAACTTTGCTGGGTGATGGATATAATCTGTTTTTTTTCCCCTCTTCCTCTTTTTGGTTGTAGTTTGGAGGACTGCTAACTGGTGGAATTATCGCATGTGAGACAGTGAGATTGAGTACTCTGAGAGTGTGAGCTTATGAACGAGATGCGTTGCATTTGACATGCGTACTTGTGATACATGCATAGAGGTGCATTTCCTTCTGCTACCCAGTTTTGGGGACATTTATTATTTTACATATATCTTGACATGTAGGCATAAAGAAGTACTTTCCTCATGCTATCTGAAAATGAAACATCTTACTCGTTGTTGAAAGGATTTTGGAAAAAATCACAGTTTTCAAACTTACTCGTATTTTTGCTTTTTCGGTAAAAGATTTGGATTTTCAGTGAGATACTTGAAAAGAAATGCCTATTTTTCTGGATTTGTGAACAAACTGAGCCTTTTATTTTTAAGATACTCTTTTGTTATTGTATATTGTGAAATATTGGTGTTGGACCCGACCTTTTTGTTAGCGCGTTACTACTTTCAACCTAAGGTTAGGTTTGTTACTTATTGAGTACATGGGGTCGGTTATACTCATACTACACTTCTGGACCTTGCGTGCAGATGTTGGCCATTGATGTTGTGTTCGTTGAGAGCTGGATCTAAAGATGTACCTGCGTTCCAGTTGTAGCTGCCTCTTGTTCGCGGTAGCCTTAGAACTATAAAACTCTGTTTATGTACTTTTCAAACAGATGATGTATTTACTTCATTTCATCTTTGAAAACTCTATTCTTAGAAGCTCATGATTTGTACTACCAGTTCTTGGGGAATGAATAAGATTTAGATTTTTCTTTACTTAAATTGCTTTAATAATTGTTATTGTAATTGGATATTTGATAATTGGCTTACCTAGCGGGTTGGGTTAGGTGCCATCATGACTAGTCGGATTTTGGGTTTTGACAACTTCATTGTATTTGGTCATAATTAATTAATCCTCAATATATTAAAAATGGAATAAAATGGAGTTCTTGTGTGAGTCATGCATTCTATGTGATATGTTAAATTGCTGAAAATTTAGCAGATATAAATGAAAGAATTTTCAAATTGTTCCACTTGCGTGTCTTTCAAAAATAAAACTCATATCTTATTATCTACTAATTTAAATGGTAATTATATTTTTACTCTAATTGATACCTCAACTTTCTCATTATCTTATTGTCGTATAATTTATGTGAAAAAAATTATTATTACGTTTTACTTTAATAAATCTCATATTTATCTCGTTAAAATTTGATTGAATGCCTTAATTTGTATAAATTTAATGTTTTATTGGATATCATATATCTCTAACCTAAACTAAATTGATATTCTATTGCACAACCTCTCAACTATTTTACCTTATTTAAATCCTAAATTGGCTTAATAACTCATTTGACGCTTTACTATGTTCAAGTTGGAATTGTATTTAATTGTGTTTAAATTATTCATCATTTCATGGCAAGGACGAGAGTAAAAGCACGAAGTGTAATGACGCGCCATTTTTGTATTATATTTGTTCTCTGACTGTATTGT